AAGCGGCTGTTCAGGGCTTTCCCCACAAAACCACTGAGCACCGATCCGTCACTCATGCCGATGGTCGGCCGAGTACCATTACAAGTTCACCGGTGAGCTGAGCTGCGGAGGCTTTTCACGTGCTGAGTTACCCGTCTGGCCCGTCTGACCAACACCAACACCATAGCACCAACACAAAACACCGAACTCCCAACAATGCCTTGTCTGACCCGCTTTGCAAGAAATGTCTAAGTTGGGTGCTATGCGGGTCAGACAAGGCATGAAGACCACGCACAATGGAGATCTGAAATTGCCACGGAGTACGTCTACAGAGTGATCCGGTAAGCACCGGAGTAGAAGCTCTTTTTCAAAGCCAACAGGGGCAAGTGAATGTCGCTATATAGACGATCTCGAATGAAGTAATTCGTAGTAAATTCATAAATCTTGAGAGAATCACCCATCACACCTTCACTTCTGGCCATATGCTCAGCAAGAGAGACATTCCCTCTACTTCTTGGATTTTCGTTTAGGATAGGTGGCTAAGGAGCTTGAGCCTCCGTCTTGATGTAGAGGTTTGGATAGTAGCATCGGACTTCTGAGGCAACCATCCCAAGTATGTCATCTGATGCGTTCATTCCCATACCCAGCACATTTACATGATGACGAACAAAAATAGCCAGGTCATGCCACCATGAGACAAGTCTGATGAGTCTGAGCCTCTGAAAATGACACCCATCTGGAAGGGAACCCCAGAATCCCTACAAAAAAGATCTAAAACAACAATTCTAAGATCACACAAATGATCACAAAAGCGAAAGAAATCCGGGCGGAAATTAAAAAAGAAAGACGCTCTCCGCGCTCTCCCGCTCCCCCCCTGCCCACCATGTGCACCGAACGCTCTCTCGTTCGGGCGCAACGAGGAGAGTTTGGCCGCTCCTGCCCACCAAGATCATGCCCTTCTGCAGCCACTTCAAGCGCTTGTCCGGGCGCTTCTGGACGATGTTCTCCAGCTTCCTGGCAGTTTCTGCATTTTGAGGATCGTGTAGCGTAGAGTGATAGAATTCATGTAGCATGTCGCGGTGGGAGAGGTGCTTGTCCGCCTATATTCTATCTACTATTACTATGGTTTGCACACAGGCCAAGGCCCTGATTTTGCAAACAGCAAAAGGCACAGTCGTGAGCCTGCTGTTTTGATTTGACTGGCTTCCTCGCACCAGTTCTACGGGAGCTAGCCCGTCAACCTGTTTGAAGTCTCGCAAACTACATGGGTTTGTACATGCTTTGCAGGGGTCCTCATCTACAAAAGTGGAGTGGTGCCGTCGACAACTTCTGGTTGTTACTTTTTCGGTTCCGACCGACCTTCACCTTCACCATGTTCTGCGTTCCTTTGTTGACCGGAAAGGCTCATGGCTTGGGTTTTCCAGTTCGACTACAGTAGATGGGTGTGTATTCTAATAGGGATACCAGCCCAATCAGTGGGTTTTTGTCTATTTACCTTCTTCCAGAGGGTCTTTGGCAGGTCTATTTATTAGAATACACCCCCATATTTTGCCCCGAAGACAGGAAGTTCCTGTCTCCTAAAGACCATGTTTTGAAATGGTCTTCGACTCCCAGGGTGAAGAAAAACCACTGTTGTTCAGAGAGCCCGGGCGATTCCATTCATCGGCGCAAGACCAAACCCGAACCCCCCGACCGACGACCGAGTGCCAAGTGGCCCCGGAAGACTACATAGTATGGCCGGTTTGTAGACTCTCCAGAAAAACAACTCCCCCATGTTTGAAGAGGTTGTTCAATCCAAATGGGGAGGGTGAAAAATTGAATCAAGGAGTCTACATGGCAGGGCTCCCATGAAAACGGCGATTTCTACTTCCTGTGATCATCCATCTCCTTCGACATACTCCAGGTAGACGGCAGGACCCCTCCGGATCCGATCCAAGGCTTCCTCACTTTCCAAAGGGATCAAATGGGGTCCCTCCGTGACATCGCTACGTCTTCCTCCTTGGAGCAGCCCGTTTTCATGGCCCAAGTCCCTCCCTCGGCTCAAGGCACATTTCAAACTCGGCTGCTTCCTCCTTTTCCCGCTCTTCACGCTCGTCCTTCTTCCTCCTGGCACGAGCATTCAAAAACGCAAATCTGTTCGCCTCATTCGGGATCTTGCCAAGTCGTAGAAGGAAGACTGCCGAGTCGTAGCTGGAAGACCCCCGACACGACGACGGGGTCTTAGCGGTCTTGGACAGTCCATAGAGGTCAATGACCTCACTGGAGTTGGTCATGTTCACATGGTCACACTACTTAACGAGGTCACGGAACTGTCCATGTGGCTCCGCCACTTGCCAAAAAAAACGCGGTGTGTTCTACACCCTACCAACACGTGACTGCACCCTCCGTCGCCTGGGAGGGCTCTTTCTTTTGGACCAGGTCATGAGCCTCGATCGTTCTCCTTCCTTGAGCAGCGATCCGTGGCGGTCGGGGGCGAAGGGCTCCAGTCGAAAAGAACGGAGTCCAGCAGCTTACACTCACCAATGTGAGTAGAAGGTAAATGACTATGTGACATGTCTATGTATCGATCTATATACATACATATATGTAGGCAAATAGTCCTCTTTTCTGCCTTTCATGCTGTCACTAGCTTAGATGCACCAAATAGAATGCCCCTTTGAAGCTCAGGGGAGAAGTGTGGATCCATTAGCCAAAAGAACAAGCACATCTCCAAACATGAAAACAACGTCCAAAACTTGGAATAGATATCCATGAGAAAGTTCGATGCAGCCCCTTCCCGGTACCATCTTCACACAATCACTTCGTAGACGCCCCAAATGCACCGCCCAAGAGTCAGTTCGACCCAAGCTAAGTCTCAAGGCCCAAATTGAAAGCTGCTGGACCACAGCTCGCAGCTCAGAGCATGAGCTGTTGGACAGAATCCCACTACACCCAGCGTACGCCCACGGAATCCACCGCGCGAGCCTTCTCATGGGCCTGCCGCAAGGCCTCCGCCTTTGAAAGCACCACAGAGCCCGAGTCACGGTAGCCCAAGGTCGCCATGGCCCTGTGGCGGCCACTCGTTCGGGGGGGGGAGTGGCGGTGATGGCGACCGAGTCGCTGGGCGGCTTCCGATTCATGGCTGGTGTTGGCCACATGGCTGGTGTTGCGGACAAAAATGGCCAGTCATTCGCCAGATACTTTGGACAAAGGCAAGGAGCTTTTGATTGGACCAAAAGAGTTACACTCACCGCTTGGCCATACCCTCTCCATAGCAGCGGATTTCGGTGTCAATTCGCCAACCCTCAAGCCCTCAAATCACGGGCTTCAACACATCGCTAGTAGGTTGGAGGCCATCGCTACGAGGGTGGAGGCCATGCTTCAAAAAACCTCAGGAATCTTCAACATCTTTGAACCCACCCAAGCCAAGACACCCCCACCCAAGGCAAAACACCCCGCAGTCCCCTGCCCCAGCAACTCCCAAGCTTGGCGGAAGGTCCTGGCCTCCAGAAACCGGGCCCACAGAAGTCTGTTCAAGGGAAACTCTACTGTATTCCAAATGCGCTCCAATCTGGTGGTGTCCCTCCTGAGCGATACCTTGCACAAATCCGTATCAAGGTGTAAACAATATCTATGCACTTTGGTGCATTCTTTCTCCATCGACGAACCCACTTGAACCACCGCTTGTCGCTGTGGCGGCGACAGGTTGGCTGCTGTGGCTGTGTCTTAGAGCCAGACTGAAAGCGAGCCATCAGTTTGTTGTGCTCCGTTGGGCACCACAGAGACAACCACCCAGTCCAAACAGTTTGTTGGCCCCTCAAAACCTACAGATACAGGATCCCTCCCAATATGAGGGTCTGGCCCCTACTTAGGACACTCCATCAGCATTTGACTAGGATCATTGAGGGGCCAACTCTGGTTCATGAACAATATGAATTCTCACGTTCTGAACGGCTGGACGAATCCACCGAAGTCTTCCTCGGTCGTAAATGGTCGTCCCGTGACACGTGTCACGTCTCGATAGAATGCGTTGGTTTCCTGCGTGTCATTTGCTTCCCCTCAACTATTTATGTTCGCTATTAGGTTGCAGGCCATCGCTAGTAGGTTGGAGGTCATCACTATTAGGTTGGAGGCC